AATTGATGAAATTTTCCTTGGAAATAATACATTAAGAACCTACATGTATGTAGAACGATGTTAAAATATTTAATTTAAAAAGGGCAATGTACAAATGCTTCACACGCGGTAACAATTTGTTGTAATGTTAAAGACGACAAATCATTAATGGATGTATAATAATTATTCCAAGTCTTTTACAAGACAAGAATACACAAAATAATTATTTCTACAGCAATACGTTTTTAAACTACACGTAGGTCTGAGAATTATGAACAGTACTACAAATATTCAGCTAATTAAATAACTTTAGAGCTAATTAAAAAAGCACAACTGATTAAAATAGTCTATTATTAGAGAAGAAAAATTCCTTCCTTCATCGTATCTAAATATATGTTTGCCATTAAGTATAATTAAGATCCCCCTCCCCCCGCCCGGAGCCTTTTCTCCCGAAATAAAATTCTTCTTGAGTATTTTCAACATATTTTAATAAAATTTAATATGTTTTGTAACACAAGAAAATCAGTCTTAAACACCAACATCAAACAGTCATTAAAAATATTGAATACACTTGTGCCGATAGTAGTATTTTAAATTGGCAAGGGATATGTTTCAAATTCAATTTAATACTTAATCCTTCCAAGTATATATTTCCATTATTTATTTATTTTTCCTGCAGGAATGCAAAAATCAGATCTAGAAATGATAGGGAAAAATATTAAAAATTCTTGGAAGTACTAAGTGATTCTTTGCCTTCGGCATAAATCATTCTTTAAGTAGACGTTTTATCTTATAAAGTCCTCATTATTTTATTGGTGAAAGGAATAAGAACATTTACTATTTAAATAGATTAATTTTATATTTAAACTACACGCGTTCAGTAACAAATACACTTGTTTTATAGCAATTAAAAATCGTGTTATAAAAATATCGATTTAAAACATAGATATATATATATGTACCGAAAACATGTTTTTTTTTATTATTTATTTATTTATTCAATTATTTATTTAATTAATTATTTATTTATTTATCTATTGTTTATTTATATTAAAGCACCTGAAATAAGAATTATAGAATAATAGAATAATTTCAATGCAAGGAAAAGATCGAAGGCATTCCAAATAAATCGTTCATCTTGCGTTCACCGTACACTTTTCGCTAGCGTCTGCGCTCCGTTTGCGTTCTGCGTTCACTCACCGTTCACCTTTCACACATCGTTCACCAAGTTGCGTTCAGCGTTCGCACATCGTTCACTTACCGTTCGTTCACCATTCAGGTGGGAAAGTAGAACGTTTCAGGGACTGTATTAGCACCATTTTCCCCAGAGAAGTTGTTACTGACCAACGTTTTAACAATAACCTACCGAATATACCGAGGTCCCGTCTTAAAGAAGTTGGTTGCACGAAAAAGATTCCACACTGATCAAAGCGCAGAGTGCCAAGTATAGGACAAATTTGGCAGCACTCCATCGAAAAATGGTAGCGTCTCAATAAGAGTGAAATACATGTATTCTCGAGAGAGATTTAAAAAAAATTAAAAACAAACAAACAAAACCAGCATTACATTCAAACGTATTCATAAGCTTTTCCCTTTGTAGTATAATGACTTTGCTCTGTATGATTTCCATCAAACAAAGTATTTCTTTTTAAAGTGTCACAGTTTCTTTCATTTTAGTTGAAAATTTTGAAACAGTACACTTGGAGACTTTCCAAAAAATTGTCATAAATTAATTTGATTAAAAACAAAATAACACTCTTCATTATAAGGCAGAATTATGTTGGAAAAGTTTTTGTCACAAGATTTTCAAACTTTTCAAAATGATACATCAGCACTCGCTTATCAGTCTGTTAAAGCAAATATTTTATTTCCTTGTTATCAAATATAGTGCAACCTGTGAAACTTCGGATGGTTATTGCATACTGCGATTACACTCTTGCTGTATTTTTTAGGAAGACTAGCCCTGACGAGATTATGAAAAAAATCACATAAATACTTTTCAAAAATTGTCGTTTTTAGACTTTATTGACTGAGCAGTATTAAGCAATGTTACTGAAGAATAAAATCTTTTTAATTCAATTGCTATAAATTATGGATCAACTATGAAAAAATACAGTCAAATGAACCATACGTATATTTTTCAGTCCCTTTTCTACACTAAATTTGTAAATATTTTTTTTCAGATGTCTTTAACATAATGTTTTCAATCTTTAATGCAATGAAAAGCATGCTCAAATGATTACAAAAAAATGATTAAAATATTTACTTTTCCCCGCAAGCTAATGATATTTAGCTTCTATTCTTGACATTTCTGCACTTACACATTTTAATTATTAAATGACTGCTTGGGGTTACCATCAAATTGACAATGTAAATGTTTATCGAGAATCGTATATTATTTTAATTCATAAAGATCATATTCGATTGGAAAATTGTTATCAAATACAAACCATTAAAAATACACAATATTGAAAGGAATGCACTTGATGTCATGAGAGAAATTACAAAGGAGTATATATGATAAGAGCCAATTTTGGCCCCCTTAAAATCTACATTTTAGAATGACATTAAGATATGTTTAATTGATATTTATTTTGTAGAAGAGATTATATTAGAAATATTTCCATTATATTTTTCACATTGATATGCACTCACTAGCTGTAAATGACATTAGAAATAATGCTATTTTTGCTATCTAGCAAAAAAGCCAAAAATATGCCCTTTTCTCGATGTTTTGTTTCTTATGGGAAACATACAGCGCAGAGTAGAACATACGTTCTGTCACTAATTAGTATTAGATAGATACATCTTTGGTAAAAATATAAATCTTGTTCTAGGCTGCGCTCTATATTTTCTGGAAGAAAAACTGCTTGAAAATAAGCAATTTTACACAAAATATGCTAAAATGGCGGGAAAACGTGATTTTTATGATGTCATATTTCTAAAATAACGGCATTTTAATCAAAATGAAAATGACCAATAAAGGTCGCATATATAGCTGTTCAAATTAAAGCTATATATAAAGTAAAATTAAGATATTCAGTTTAAGGGGCCAATTGAGACACTTACCATATATCGCTCTTCATACATAATCCTAAACACATCTTTAACTCTGACCTATTTGATAATTATTATTTAAAATTTTAGAAATCTTTCAAAATAATTGCGTGTTATTCATATTATCACAATAAGTTGTGTAATTTCATCACACCAGGAAGTCCTGGATTTGTCAATATACACTGTACATGAATAGTAAATAAAAGGTGCCTATGGACTTCATTTAAGAATTATTTTAAGCAATTTAGCTTTATGACCGAAAATATATAAATTGAATATGATAAGTAAATTTATTTTGATTTGATTTTTAATTGAATTCCCTGAATTTCAAAATGCTTTATTTTATAAATTTTTTTAAGCTGAAAAGAACGAGGTATGTCCATTGCACGATGTTTTTCGATATTGTCGACATCGGAGTGAAATACCAGTCATCCTAATATCATAACATATTCAACATGACAATGTTGGATAATACCTTTGTTTATCTCTCTATATATTACATTGTTAAACGATAATGAGTCCATGCACAACATGTAAACATTGTCTTCCCGTTTTCTGATGTTAACACCGTGCACATCGTCGACATTGCAATGTTTATCGATATCGAGTCGACATTGTGTCAAATTGCCCTTATTATTTTTCTTGTTTACATTGTTAATATCGTCGACATTGTCATGTTGATTGATATCGAGTCGACATTGTGTCAACATTCATTTTTCCTTCTTATTTTTCTTGTTTACATAGTTCAAATCGTCGACATTGCAACGTTGGTTGATATCGAGTCGACATTGTGTCAACATTGTCCTTGTTTACATCGTTCACATCGTCGACATTGCAATATTTGTCGATATCGAGTCGACATCGTGTCAACATTGCACTCCTTATTTTTCTTGTTTACATCGTTCACGTCGTCGACATAGAAATGTTGATCGATATCGAGTCGACATTGAGTCAACAATGCCTCCTTATTTTTCTGGAAACATTGTTCACATTGTCGACAACGCAATGTTGGTCAATATCGTGTCATCATTGCCTGTTTTTAAAATCTTGTTCACACACGTAGACACAGACATGTTGTTCGATAATGAGTAGATATTTTGTGAATACTGCATTCTTATTTTCTTGTTCACATATTTTTATTGGCATAAATGAAGTCGACATCATGTAAACATTACGTTTCCTTTTACGTTTATCTAACTTGGTAAAATCGTTGACAACACATTTAACGCATATAATCAATTTATATAAGTTTCGTATTTTATTTTCATTCACAATGCCCGATCGATTCTCGTTCGCGGCGCTGCATCATACCTAAGACGTAAAAAAAGGTAGTGACTGTTCCTTAGCCAAGCGCTCGGCACTAGAAGTGAAAGTCACGGGTCTTTCGGATATGACCTTAAAAACGTATGTCCTGTGTCACGGTAGGCGTTGGCACAATAAAGAACCCTCACTGCTCAATGGCCCTGAGTGCCGAGTATAGGTCTAAATTTGAAACCCTTCACCGGCATACGGTGACGTCTCCATATGAGTGAAAAATTCTCAAGAGGGACGTTAAACAATATACAATCAATCAATCAATCACAATGAAAATAATACCGGTATCAATATAGACGATATAAAAGCGATATTGCATTAACATTGTTTTCATTGCGATGTCCACTATCTAATTACAATATAGTTTCAACATTGTCGTTATTGCGATGTCGACAATATTGAATTGATAAAGTGAACTGGACATGAATGAAAAGAATGGGAAAAGGTAAAATTAAATCAATTATGACGTAATAATGGATCTATCACAGGCTAAACATATGTTAGACGACATTGGTTCTGCGTTAAGTAATTTTCTGTTTTGCACAAAACGATTTTTTCTGGCTTAATAAGGATAAGGTGTGCAAACCTATAAATTAAAAATGCATAGTTTTGTGGAAAATAATTATTTATAAAAACAATATTGCTGTTACCATGATTCCAGCTCTGCAAATTTAATTCATGTCCCCTTACACTGAGAAGTTCCTTCACGTTCCCTTCAGTGTGAATCAGTTGTTTTGGTGGAGACTTTACATGTCCCAAAGGAATGAGAACCGATAAATCATAACGCTGCATTATCATTTTTCAACTCTGGAATAGAAATCATTGTACATTATGTAAAGTCGTAAATGAAACTTATGTTCCTTGCAAATTTCAATTGAAAATTATGCAATTTACTCTTGCCTACAATTTTGAACAAGTAATAACAATATTAAACACAAAGACTTTTTTTTCAAATTGAGAGGACAAAACTGTTTTGGTTGATATTTAATGAGATACACGGAACTATTTGTAGTTAATAAAGAACTAAAATTTTATGACAAAAGGGTGGTTTCAGCTTTTCTATCATCAACTTCCTTGTTTATGTAGTAGATTTCAATTACTTGAAAATTACCAGCTAATTGTGTTTACATATATAGGTCCTGACTTATTTTCACTTCAAGGGTTTGCTATGCATCAGTACAATCTTTTTTTTTAAAAAGCGAAGCATGCTACTTATTAATTACTTGATGTTTCAAGTATTTAAACAGCCCCCTGCAAAGACAGCATTTCGTAAATATTACATGTATGGTCTAAATGACCTTATAATCAAAAAATGAACGTAGGTTAATCGAAAAATTTGTGGACGATGTCAATCTATGTTGTATTACTTTCAATAAAGAAGAAGGTATGGTTTTAGCTACATGTATATTGTGCCATAGAAATGTAATGTCATCAAAAAGTCTTCAAAGTAGCTAAAATATTAATCAAGTATATGACTGTGATAAATCAGGAAAGAATATGGTTCAACGAATTACCATTCTGCAAATAAGACGTCATTAATGTGATGCATTTCTGTATTTTTAACAGAAAAATCCTCAAATTGGCCATTTCAAGGGTGATTTTCCTTTAGAAAATAGTGTCCACAGCCGTCGCTGTCACATTAAAATCCCCATATTATAATTTTGTTGCAGTATCTTAATTTTATGTGAGTATCCCGTGTGGAGCCCCTTCGTTTTAGTCAGGTTATCATTGTAAATATCCTTTACTGAACCTCAATTCACTGGACCTTAAAACCCGCGAGTCCGTGCAAGATAGTTTGGACACGGCAGTCCAGAGAGAAGGAAGCTTTAACCCCTCTTACATACATGTCGATATGTTTTGTAATTAGAAATTATAATAACACCGAGTACTAGTATTACTTGCAGGGCTTCTTCTGTATTTACCGTATGTAATGGTCCAGCTTTTCTGAGGTAAGGTTTATGTTTATAATTTTATCTTTCTTATTTTCATTCTGCGTTCATTTTGTCCTAAAACATCTAGTTATCACATTTCTCATCATTTTAAGCATGTATGTTTCGTTTATAATTGTATTTCTATGTATAGTAACACGTATTTGAATATTTCCAAGTATGGTGTACAATTTTCTTCATAAAAGTGTGTCCGTGTAGTAGCAATTCGTAATATTGCATTTGTGTAAGAGTTGTATGTATAGTTTAAACAACTCGTTTGTGTAATTAGTCTTATCTAAGACGTGTACATTATCCACAAGTTTGATAATGAGTGAAGTATGTATTTGTGTCAAGCCACAAACGCTTATCAATAAAACTTGTATATGTATGTTGGAGCAGGTTCCATCTATCCATGGTATAAGTCTACTTAGAGACGGTGTGAAAAGGCCACCCAGTGCCTTGAAGTGAGTCAGCCCGTTCCGAGTGGTGCGTAAAAGGGAAACAACCCTTGGGCCCTAGAGTTCCTGTACCCAGTAGTGTGGAAGGCGGTATCACGACGCAATAGGACAAGCAACAACGGACTTTGTTGAATTTGTACATTTATTGTAATTAAATATGTAAATTATCCGA